TCCTGCGGAAGGACCACAGGCCAGGTGGGAAGAATCTTGATTTTTCAAACCTCCCACCATTCCTTCCCAATATTTACACACACACAAACACCCCATGAGGAAGAGGAAGGATCACCTAGAGCCCAGCAGTGGAATGCCATGGGAAGCAAGGGGAGGTTCAGCTGTATGATCCAAGAGTCAGTGGGATGGAGAGAAGCTGTAGGTTGCTCCTCTCCGTGGTCCTTCCTGGGCTTGGCAGTGGATGATCCAATGGTCTGGGTTACGCAGCAGATAAAAGCAGGGAGACAATGGTCAAATACACGGTGATGGGTAACTGAAGAGGGAAGCGCAATGAGAAGCACTGCTAATTAATTACCACCAGTAACTTCACACAGCAGGGGAGGGGTTGGAGATGTATCCAAAATGTTTGTTGAGATTTTGGAGGGAGTTTTCTCTGATAGGTAAAAGATGCCTAGAGAAAAAAGGCTTGGCTTGTGGCAACATATAGATATTTGCAATATATTGCTCATACATTTTGCGTGGTGCACACCCCCCTGAGAACTCAAATCCGTCTTGCTGTCAGAGGGGAGAAACATGAACCGAGCGTTAAACCTGTAAGGAAAGTGGCATTCCTTTGCTGGGAAAGGGAGGAAATTGCTCTGGCCAGGAATTGCCCTGGATCACTATCACCAGAGTTTATTTTCTTAGGATCTTTCCAATAAATACCAATGTCTCCGTTGTTGGGAATAATTTCAGCAGTTGAAAAGCGGCAATCTGATCGGATAACGCCTGGGGGCTTTTGTGCCCGTTCTGATTCAGCAGCATTAGCAAAAATACAGCAACATTAAATGAAACTTCTCAGCTAATCAGTCTCCATTACAACTTATCTTAAGAAGACCAAAATTAAAATGTTCTTTGAAAAGTAAACCCTTTATCATTAAAAGCTTGATGACTTGCATGTTTGGCAATTGGAACAAAAACCCATATTGGGGGAAGAGGAGTGTTATAAACCTAGTAGGGTTTGTGGTGATGCGTTACTCTTGCGTCTAGGCTGAGAGATGTATCCTATAACATCCTAGGAGATGTTATATAGCATAACTGCATCCGCAGTTGTATTGCAACTGAAAACAGTTTATGAAATTATGTCCGTTAGGATGGAGTTTTAACTGAGTTTTTACATGAACTGTATTCATGCTGTCATTGCATTTTGATACTCTCCAAATGCTTCATGGCCTTTAAATGCAATTCAACTTTATCATTTAATTTTATTTTGTCTTTTGTATATGCTTCATGGCCTTTAAATGCAATTCAACTTCATAATTTAATTTTATTTTGTCTTTTGTACGGTGTTTCAATCTACCTCGTTCTCTTAATGCATTATATTTAATGTAGAAAATACCACTTAGGAATATTCCAACATTATTCTGGTGAAATAACCATTCGTGTCCAACCCTAGTGTGGCACCCGTGCATCCGGAGCTTGGCCGGCGGACAAAGCCGGGGGTGCTGGGACATCCCTTAGGATGCCAGCGTTATTTGCAGGATTGAACGCGTCCCCTTGATTTCAGCGGGAGCTGCTGAGCGCTTGGCACTTGTGTTAAATCTCCCGGGTGAGTTCGGGAACGGGAAGGGCTGTGGTCCAAAGCGACGACGGCGCTCCGTCTTTGTCCCATGAGGTGCTGCTGAGGGCATCTCCTTTAAAACCAGGACAAGCATCCAAACTGACCATCCTCACTGTAAGCAAGGTAGGACGGAGGACGAGGACCTGCCCCACGCTGGGGCCCCAGCGGCTGGGTGACAAGAGAGGGAGGCGATTTATTATGCAGGACTCAGGCTCAGTGCAGAATGGGCAGGGTTTCCTATCCCTCTTCATGAGCTAGCTCATCCCTGAAAGGCCTTTCCCACTTACCCCGTGGCATCTTATTTTCAACAGTTCTTGGCTAGGAGCCCTTGCGGGGCTGTGTTATCTGCTCGGCAATGCTTCAAAACATCTGCCGGTCCAGGAGACTTTCCTTCCAGGCTGTAGTGATTCTCCTCCATAAATCTGTTTTCCTGCCTGTCCCCTTGTTCTCCTCTTTATTACGAGATCTCACGTCTCACCCCTGTGAGATGCTGCGTGGGCTCATCCGCAGTTCCCAGCACGTGCCCCAGATGGAAGCGGGGTTCACTGCAGCAGCATCCCGAGGATGCAGGCGCGGTGAACTCACCCGGCTTCTGTGCAGGGCCGGATCCTGCTGAGCGCATCCTCTGGGTGCTGCTGGCTCGGGAGCCCTGTGCGCTCCCTGTGCCACGTCTGCTCTGGGCTCGTGTGTCCTCCGGTGCTCGCTGTGGGGTTGTGCTGACCCACAGGCGGCTGCTCTTTCGTGGGCTCCCCTGGGAGCTCCTGCCCTTTTCAGCATCAGTGCTGGGAGTTGGATCCATGGGAACTCAGCGGTACATAGCTCGCTGTTTACATAGCCAGCGGTTTAGGTACCTATGGAGGGACTATAGATATAAGATTAACTAGAGATGGAATCAGCAAATGATTTCAAACTGATAACATTTGGAAATCCAAGCACTGTGCTTGCGGGTACTGAGCTGGGAAAGGCTTCCTTCACGCTCCCGTGGGTTATAGCTAGGACCCAGCAAAGTACTTAAATAATGTGCTTAACTTCCAAAAAGTCTCAGATGGTCAAACTGGGATTTATGTAATACATCTAAGTCTTCTGATAGTGACCTGAAATAACTTTTGCAGGTTCGATCTGCAAATCTGTGCTACTAAAAGCCATCTGTCCTTTGCAGAAGATGCTGCAATACCATGGTAACAAACAGCAAAAAAGTTTTTTGGGAGCAGCAAGTGCTTTGCCTCCTGAAGCACCAAAGCATTTCTGTTTCCAGCGTTGTATGTCTCACCTCTTTGCTTCCTGCGAGATAGAGAACCACAGCCTGCTGTAGGTGCAGCACAAGCGTGGTGGGCAGGTTCCTCTGCAGGATCCGATGGTGGGGCCACGGTGGGCAGCGAGGGCTGACCGGGGAGGAGCGGAGAAGCTCCCTTGCAAGGTTACTGACGTTTCTGTCTCTGCTTTTTCAGGGTTACCTTTCCGAAGGCTTAGTAACAAAGTGGTATCGCTCCCCCCGCCTCCTCCTCTCACCAAACAACTACACCAAAGCCATCGATATGTGGGCAGCCGGCTGCATCCTGGCCGAGATGCTGACAGGAAGGATGCTCTTCGCTGGTAGGTTTCTGGCTCCTGTTGATTAATTTTTTTTCTTCTTCCCTCCTTCCTCGCAACCCAGTTTGAAGGCTTTTTGGTGTGGCAGAGGGAATTCCCCTCTCCTTGCCAGCCAAGGCAACACTTGTAGCATCGCTGCAGGGATCCTGCACTTGGTTATGAGATGTGAGAGCTGTCTCCAGAGCAAACTTCACTTGTACAACCTCTGCTATTAGAGGGTCCCTTGTTTGGTGCAAACTTCCCTGGTACAGGCAGGCCTTTGGGGCCGGAGAAGAGTTACCATCTTGATTTTCACTCTGCCTTATTGCGCTTGTCTGGGATGGACGTGGGGTGCTACGGGTGGGATGGCACCCAGTGGGAAGCCACCGGCCAGTGGGGTGCCCAAGGCTGGCCGGGATCAACGGTGCCTCTGTGCCAAGACTTGCTGGGCAGGGATGGTCTGCTGCCAAAAGCAAAACCCCAAACAAAGAACAATTCTGATGAAACAACAAAACCTTTTTCTATTTCTGGGTTTCCAACAGAAAATAAGAGCTTCTTGTTGTGAGGGAAGATGCTAAAAAAATATCATGGGGTGGAGTATAAGGACAGAAGATAATGTGGCCTTGTCCCAAAAGGTTTGTACTCTGTGCTGTGGATTTGAATTGTGATTGGTGTCTTCAAGGTATTTCTTTTCTTTGAGGGAAAACACTTGAGTGCCACTACCCATTTTCAGCCATTTTCAGGATTTTCCTATAAGCAGGTATTGGAGTTGTAAAGGTGCAGTGCAACGAAAAGACGACAAAAAAAGCACCAGCAAGGAGCACATAATTATCAGTGCAGCATTTGAAGCTTGACTCTGATGTTCTTGAGAAGCAAATTTTTATTTAATACAATTCCAAAAATGCTACTGTCTGGTGCAAAGCTGTGCTTCCCAAGCTGGGAAGTGGAGCCGTTCATGCAAGAATGAAGCAGCTGCTCTCTGGCTATCAAAGGAGCCCGAGGTCTGCCAGCGATGCTCCTCCCTGATTGTCTCTACCCTCGCCCATTAGTGTTTTGAATGACAAGGTTTAACACATTTTGTGAGCAGCTGTTTGCAGAGTTGTGTAAATAAATAATTAGACCCATTAATAATGGAGAAGGACATTTTCTTCACACTTCTTTCAGTGCACTGCAGAGCTCCACAGCCAGTGCTTGATTGCAGCTGCTCGGTCGCTCCCTCCCCACTCCTGCTTGCAACTTCCATATCTCCTTTGTGGAAGCTGTAAATTAAGCAGTCTGTAGCATTTCGAAGAGATCATTGAAATTACTTCTCTCTTCTGCCTTCCTCTGATTCTCGGTCTTCCCTCCCCAAAATTTTCAAATCCAGGGACTTCAGCTCCAAAAATTATGCATCAGACCTGGCTGTTCCTGCTGCCTCCTTGGGATATATCCCAAGAGCAAGGACGTCTCCACATGCTGCTTGTCCCTGTGGGCACAGGGCATTTCTGGTATCGCTGGGAAACGCTGCACATGAGTGAGCTCCCGAGACAGCTCTGCCAGCCGCCTCCCCTTGCCGAGCCGTGGTTTGCACCGCGCAAGAGTCTTTGAGCTTTCTGGGTAGAAGCAAACTGGACGATAAGGCTAAGGCTTTGCCACTCCAGGGCGCTGGACCCAAACTAGTCCCAGGTAAACCAGAGCAGCAGAAGCAAATCCCAGCACAGGTTGCAGGGTCCTGGTCCTCGGAGTTGCACCAGACCAGAGCAGCGCGATGCCTGTTATTAAAGTGGGTGTAGCTGGAGCCCCAGGAAAATCCTTTTGGACTCTTAAGTCAATCTCTTTTTTCCTATATTTGCTCCTCATGTCAAACAGCAAAACAGGACTGGCTTTGTCCAGGTCCTTCTCTGGCCATCCCCATCAGAGCACCCAAGCACTCATCTTTATCCTGGTTTTCCAAACTCTGCTTGACCCCTCTCTCAGCCCCAGCTTGGTTTTTGTGCTGTTTGAGGACCCCAGGAATAGAAGCTACATTGGCTGACACCAGCCATCTACTGCCTAGGTGTCCAACCTGCTCCCTAAAGCTCCCTCCATGGTCAAGGCAGAAGCAAAGACAGCTCCAGGATGTGATTCGTCTGGCCTCTCTTAGGTGTCTGCCTTCAGCTGAGATTGTGCCTTAGAAATATTTATTTTTCCACTACTGCTCATAAAGAGCATCTGGAGAACAAGCTGAAGTGCCCATGCTGGTGTTGCACGTGGCTACAGGTGAGATCAATCCTGTCCAGGCTGGCCGGGCGAGGTGCCCCAGAGCAGCTATACAGGAACCTACTTCTCAGGTTGGTTCCTGAGAGTCCACAGCAGATTAGAGATCAGGAGATGGGATTTGGCACATCACAGACTGGGCTCAGCTGGACACGTGCTGTGAGCATCCCTGCTCCTCTGCTTTCAGACCCGTGCAATCCCTTTAATAAGCCCCCAGTTGAAGGTAGGACACTTAGTTAATGGGTGGGGATCGAAACCGGAGCTCAAAATACATATTCCTTTTGGGTTGCTTTAAAAATAGTTTGTAGACTTGTTACGGGAAGGTCTTGGCCCTGTGCCCCGTTTTCCTGGCCTCCTTCTATACCAGTAAGTAAAGAAGAGCCGGGGTGGGAGCTTGGCAGTGGGGCAGGGTGCTCATGGTGTCCCATGCCATGTACTGTCTTTCATCTGCTGGTGGCCAAAGAGGAGGAGAATAAAACTCCACTCAGAATAGCTAAAACTGGCAAACACTTGCAGGACAGCATGGGTTCATCTTTGCTTTTGCTTTTCTTCTCTTTGCTTGGGAGAAGGAGTTTGTCCTCAGCCAGCTGCAGCCCCCATTGCTGCAGGACGAGACTTTCGGAGAGTGCTGGGTCACCAGCAAACACCCTGTGGCAAATAACAGCGACATAGTTCCCAGAAAGTTGCAAATCTCCAGTAATTGCCTTACGCTGGATAAATTGTTTTTTGAGTATGCATCAGCGGCACAATTTAAATTGGGTGCTTAGCATAAGTCAATATAATTAACTCAGTTGTCTATCTGGGGTGCTTAAGCAATGCAGTTAAATTAAGGTGCTCGGTTATTAGGAATAGATGTCACTCACTGCTTTCGTTCTCCTATGCAAGTTAATGAACACCCAGCAGAGAGGGACCCTCGTCCTCCCTGCAGCCCCATCTCTGGGCAGTGCGGTGGCAGGAGCAGCTTTGGATTTGGCGGAGCCCCAGGAGGGCACAAGAAGTTTGGCTAACCCAAAGCTCACAGGGGCGTAGCATGTCTCCAACAGCTAAAATCTGGCTCACAGACCTTTAGAGAGCTCCCCACCACGAGCAGTGTGGAAGACAGGGAAGAGCATCCGTAACTGAGCGACTACAGCTCCCTCCAGTGACTTTTCCACCCTCTACTGCCAAAGCGTCTCCGAAAGCATCGCCAGTGGAAGCAAGAGAAAATAGGAGAAAAAGAAAAGCTGCCTGTCCTCGTGGATCTCCGTGGGGATCGCCAGCGGGGCCGTGCCCGTGACCAAGAGCTAGGAGGTGGCGTGGTGGCTCTTCCCATGGGATCGGTGCTTCTTCCCAGAGGATTTGCTAGCAGGGCTTGGGTGTTCAGCTGGGACTTGGCTGCAAGCCCAGGGAAGGGTTCTCTTTTCCCAGACATGATGCAGAGCTCCTTGTTCTCTCCTTGGGTAACGACAGCATGTTGTGTTTATTCTGTCTGTAGTTCGTGGTTTTCTTTTCAGGAATTAATGCTTCCAGAAGGTCCCTAGAAATTACATAAATAGAGGATAGTGGTGGAGAATTGGGTTCCTGAGAGCCATAATTCAATGCTTCCAGCATTGCATTAGCAGCTTCTTTGTGTGACTAAACACGGTGCCCTTTTGCTGCCAGGTACCTTCAGTGAGCAGTAGCTGGAGCTGCACTGGGAAGAGCCACAACGCCTTTGTGACTTTTAATACCCTGTAATTTTGATCACAATTTGGGAATTAGCCTGACTAACAAGGTGTTTGTTTCCTGATGGTCATCTTTAGTTTCTCCTGGAGCCATTCTGTGAACCTCTAAATGTCATAAAATTGGTTTTTCTGTAGGAAGGTCAATTCATTTGCCCAGGATTGATATTAGGAGGGTGTCCCACTGTCTTTTCTGCTTCTCCTATTGCTCTGTCTTCTTCTGAGGCTTTGTTCTGAGCAGACGGGTGCTGTGATGGTGACCAGCTGTGCTAATGTCAGTGTTGGTTTGGGGCTGTCTTAAGTTCGTTGCCATGTCCTGGCTCAGAGCTCTGCCATTCGCCATGAAAGTGGCCACGACTGCATTCTACCAAAACTTGTTGGAGTGATGAGGCCATGACGGATGGAGACCCTTTCTCAACCTTGACATTTGGACCTTCCCTTGCCCAAGGGGTGTGTTTAGGGTTAGCTCCCTGGATGCGAGTCTGGAAACCTCCTGCAGACGCACGGGGAGCTCTGGGCTGGGAAGGACAGCCCCTGCGATGTGCCAGGGACCTCCGAAGGGATGGGGTTGCCTGAGGGCGTGATGCCAGTAATGGTCTCCACCATCCCCTACGAATTGACCTCTCCACCCTCCCTGCAGACTCAGAAGTGCTGTGCCATAAATGAGGCTTGCTCACTCCTCTTGCTACGGATCAGCCGGGTGCTGCTTGCCAGTGAAGCAGCCTGAAATCCATCAGTGGGACAGCAAGGGGCTTGGTAGCCCAAAAATCCCCGTTGGTTTGTCTGCCCCAGCCAGCTTGCTGTCTTAATGGATAGTCCTGCCTCTAATGACAGAATATTTATAACCGGTGTTTCTGGCAGACAGAAAATCAATAGTGCAACTCAATATTTCTGCCAGGCTGCTTCTCTGCACACGTAGGAAGCTGGAAATCAGCTGTGGAGCTCTTGGTCGTGTCTAATAGTGCGCTAAAGAATGGGATTAAGGTTCATTAACGAGGCGGTTGGCTCCGCTCAGCTGGTGCTGCTGCTTCTCTCCTCTCCTTGACTGGTAGCCAGGCCTGAGCTGGGACTTAGGGATACATGGATAAATATGTCCTGAAGGAAAAGGATTAAAAATATATATGATTGCTCGTAGCAGTTGTGGGAATTGTCACCATCAGAGCCTTGACGTCGTGCCCAACAGCCAGGTGGGACCTGGTCAGAAAACCCCTTTCCCATTGGGAGAGCGCAGAGGTTGGGCACTTGCATTCATTTAAAGATGAAGCTTTGGCACCCCTGGAGCTGGGTTCATGATCTTTTTGTTATCATTGGGGTTGTGGCAGCACTTTTTGTCACTGCTGCACAGAGGCACTTTGCTTCTCAGCATAGCACAGCATGTGGCAGGGACACGTGGTGGAGATGGCGTTGGGCGCTGCCCTGCCCGGCTGCAGCCGTGTGAGCTGGGATGCTTCATCTGGGGCTGTGAACAAACCCAGCCGTGGTATTGCTTAAAGAGGGTCGTCAGTTTTGAGGTCGTTAGAGCCAATATTTGTCTCCTTCCATTGTGCAGGATGGACCCACCGATGGATAATAGCTCCTATGCCTGTGATTTCAGTTGGTACATTTTCTGCTGTGTAGCCATTTTAAGAAGATGTCTAGGTTAGTCAAAAAGCTGCACAGACAGTCTCAGGGGGATTACTGTAGGAGATCAGATTGTCTAGGTTAACTCTTTCAGCCTGAAAAAGAAGTGGCCTGGCTGGGAGTCCCACCATATTTTCCATGGAGCAAAGAGTGGCGGCTAATGCGGGGATGCATCAGCGTGGAGGGGCTGACGGGAGATGCGGCGCTGCGGTGACGTGACTCTATTCAGAGGGGTGGTCATGCAGGAGGGTGGCCAATAATACCAACTACCTCCCGATTTAACTTGTGGGTCTCAACTCACTGCCTGTTTTTTACCCATTTAGGGGGTCACGAGCTAGAACAGATGCAGCTTATTCTGGAGACGATCCCAGTTATCCACGAGGAAGACAAAGAGGAGCTGCTCAAAGTGATGCCCACGTTCATCAACAGCACCTGGGAAGTGAGGAAGCCACTGCGCAAGCTGCTCCCTGAAGTAGACAGTGAAGGTAGCGTGGTGCCTGCTGGCTTCGGCAATGTCCTTCTCCTGGGACTTCCCCCGGCTGCCGTGTTTTTGGATCTATTTCCCCAGGGAGTCACAGGAATTGTCTTCTAAGGCCAAGTGCATGAACACTGGTGAATGGGATTCAGGTATCTGGGGGTTTGCAGTGCATGGTCCCACCTGTAGCTCAGGTGTCCCCACCGCTGTCCCTTCTGGGTCCTGCTTGACGTCCCACCAGGGAAGGCATGGGCTGCAGGACAGCACTCATGATGCAGTAGCTTTCTCACAGGTAGCTCATACAGAAATAGGAGTGAAATAGTCTTCCAAGACTATTCCAAGACACTTCCAAGGCACATCCCCTTCATGCCAGCCTTGCTTCCCTCCCTTCCCTTTCCTCTTCTGGAGCTGCAAGTGAGGGTTTAGTCCAGAGGTTATTTTCAAGCCCTGTTAATTTTCTTGCTCTGCTTTTTGGATAAACACAATTTTATAGTACAAGAAAATAAATGCTTTTGCTCCACAAACATCTGAACTCCATGAGGTGGTTGCTACAGGCAGAAATGTTGTCCAAGTGCTCTGAGGCTTGGACATCACTCGTGTTGGGCTGTCACAGCCTGCAATGCTCAAATACCACTTCAGCCTCTTCCCTCCTTTGGCTAAAGCTTAAAAAAAATCAGCAGTGTGTTGTTGTGAGGGGGTTGCAAACCACAGGCTTTTGGACCTGAACTTCTGCCTGGAGCAGCTTTGTAGGCAGTGAGAGCTTGCAGATCGGCAGCCAGAGTTGAGCAGTGCGGACCAGGGCATGGCAGCTCTTCTGAGCTGCTTCCAAGGCTTAAACCAGGCTGCTGGACCTGGCCACCTGCTTTTGGGAAGATGTCAAGACCAAGCCCGTCATGTTCGCTGGCATAACTCTTCGTTATAAGACGTCCGCTATATGGGCTTGGCAATGCGATACCCATCGGCCCGGGTTACCCAGGGACCGCGTCAGCCTCCGGCAAGCAGGACTGGATTTATTCCCTGTCGTTACTGTGGGAAGAAAGGTTACCTGCGCTCCTTACATAATTCATCGACATTTTCCTGCCTCTCTGACCTGTAATGCATCGTAATATATAACTTGTAATATATCGTTCCACCATGCCTCTTGCCCGCAGTCAGTGACCTTATGAAGCTATTGATTCCTTCCTACTTAATTAGTCCAAGCAATGAAATAATCCCGTGGGAGACAATCGGATATTGGTTAATGTTTAAGCACTGAGGCAATAGGTATGGCCTGCCCTTTCTGCTGAGTAATTTTGCCCCTAAAGAAACTGTCCCATTCCCACAATTACATCTTTGGTGGGGATATTTCTGAAGGTACAATGTAAAATTTATAACTGAAGAAAGGCGTATTCCTATTTGTACCATCTGAACTCTAACGGACTTTTCCATGTACCAAGAATCAATTGAATAAGCAACATCTTTAATGATAGGATTGGATCTTTTTCACATAACCTCGGTAAAAGGAATCATCAAAGAAACCACAACAAACCCTCTACATTTAGATTTGATTCTAGTCACTTTAATTGCACTTAATTTCCTCCTTTGTCATTGTAGAAAGAGTTCATGCTCCACAGTCTTTTAAAAATAATTTTAAGCACTCAGAATTCTTTAAATATTAATGGATAAGATAATTTCATAGTGTTGATCACACAGAAGACTTAAAAAAAAATGCGCTTTAAATCTAATCCTGCTTCAGTTGCACATAAAGATGTGAAATCAGTTGTCTGAAACACAATGTGCCTGTCGAATGGTTCTGAGAGCGTGGAATCAAATCCAACACTGTCCAAAAGTCTTTTTGGGGTAGGAGCTTAGCCTTCTGGCCCAGGATCGCAGCACCAGGTAAAACGTGTATATGCTGTCCCGTGGAGGTGTGATGCTCTCACAGTCATTTCTCCTGCCTTGCTAGATGAGCTGACACCTGCGGGCTGCAGGATTGCTCCACTGCAAGCACACAGCTCCCGTGGGGCTAAGATGGATGCAGCCAGGACAGAAGTGCCCATTTGAGATGCACACGGGGTGTGACCTTTAATTCCTTCCTTACTTCGAGGGGATTTGTTATGGGGCATTCACAAGGCTCATCCTGGAGAGGAAGCTGGTATTGCTTTTGAGGAATTAATGAGCTTGTTTCTCTCTGCTTCGCAGCTATTGATTTTCTGGAGAAAATACTGACATTTAACCCTATGGATCGATTAACGGCTGAGATGGGTCTGCAGCATCCTTACATGAGTCCCTATTCCTGCCCCGAGGATGAACCAGTGTCTCAGCACCCGTTCCGCATCGAGGATGAGATTGATGATATTTTACTGATGGAAGCCAACCAGAGCCAGATGTCTAACTGGGACAGGTACGTATCTAGAGCTGGGTCAGAGACCAGATACTAGCTTAAATTCTTTAGGCAGAACTTGGTTGGTGAGTCTCTGACTTGCTTGAGTTCAGTCACACATGCTCCAGACCCACGGAGAACATCTGCTTTTCCTTCTTTGTGCCATATTGTAATTCTGGCCCAAGCTAGCACCTTGCTGAAGCCAACAAGGGGTTTGTCACTGATTCCATCAGGGAGCACATGTTGCATCTGCACATCTGCACCTTCCAGTTACCGAGTATCTTTCCGCTCTTGGTTTTATTAACAGCCTGTATGTCCTCATTTGAGTTACATTTGTTTAAATGACACTATGGTTCTTCCCTCTGTCCTCTGTCCCTATGATACAAGTTATAAAGTAATGTAATTCTTGTACCTTTCGGGGACTGGGCCTGTTTTGGAGCTCTGTATTTATCACTTTCCAAGGTGTGTAAGCCCCAGAGGCCACAGATCTGGGGTCTTTTTAAAAATCCTTAATTGTGCTGACTTTTAAGTGGTTTGCTGAAAGTCATACAGATAGTTTAGGGCAGATCAGAGCCTTGAGCTGAGGTCTCTCATGTCGTATGTGATTACCCCAGTTACTAGGCCAGTCCCAGTACCGGAGCAGGTAGGAAGAACGAAAGAAACATCTAAGAATTAACTAGGTTCACTTTCCTATGGAGCTCCTTCCAGCTGAGCAGGGTGAGCTGGCGGAGGATGTCTGCAGCGCTGTTCCTCTGCACAGCAATTAAATCTCCTCGCCTTCTTAATCCACTGTATTTCACCAGCATTGAAAAAATACTCTAAAGAAATCCCTTGCCTTCGCTATTATCAATCTCTTTGCCTGAGTGAACAAGTATCAGGGTGGAGGCTGGGGAGGACAACCAGGTAAATTAGGTAGGGAGGAAAGCTGGAAGCTTTTCTCAGGATATCCGTCTTCAGTGTATCACCACCGCGCCAGCATCCCTGCGAGTTACAGTCCCAAAAGCAACAAATCAGCTGCTGGAGGTCACCTGGTCACCCTTTTATCGCTTGGCTTTCTTGATGTGACAGAAGAAGCTGGGACCTAGACTGTTGGTCCTGCCACCCATCTGGGGACATCTGCTATAGTGCCACAAATTTTTGCAACACAAGCTGGGTGTTTCAGAACAGGAAGTGATTTTGCCTGTGTGCTGTGGGACACCTGAAGAGCATTTGATTGCCGGGACATCGATCCCCAATACCTGGGATAACACATCTTTTAAAGGCAGCTCGGTTAGGAACCAGTAAATTAGAGATCACTTTGAAAACCACGGGTGTTGTTGGGTAATTGCAATCAAGGGAGTTCGACTAGTTTGAGAAGTTATCACTTAGCAAGGTGACCCTTAGGGATGCTCTTGGTCCACAACGTCAGAGTAAACTGCTGATGTCCAATCTCAGTGGGGATTTAAGCTCATCTTTTTCATTTTTATGGCAACAAACAAGGAGCGCTTACACTGCAGGTGCTTGTCTGTGGGCTGAGGGATGATTTGGTGGTTAATATTGTTAATCATGTTTTAATCCCAAGTGGAGAGAAGGTGACCATCAGCTAAATGAAGGGGCCAGTTGGTTTGGCTGTTGGGCTTTTTTTCCCACTACTGGTGCTGTCCATGCAGCCTGGGAAAGCCTCAGACTCCTCATAAATTACTCCGGCCCTCTGCCCTTTTTAATACAAGAAAAAGGTCTCTAATATTAACAGGAATTTATAGATCTATAGGTAAGCACTATATTAGCAAGAAAAAGGTAAAAACAGCAGCAGCAGCGTGCATATCTGTTTGAGCGCTGCTGTTTCTAACGAAGCCATCATCTGCATGTCTAACAGCAGGATGTCTTTTGCAGGTATCACGTAAGCCTTTCCTCTGATTTGGAATGGAGACACGATAAATACCACGACATGGATGAGGTTCAGCGGGACCCCCGGGCAGGGTCTGAATCCATCGCTGAAGAAGCACAAGTTGATCCACGGAAATACTCCCAAAGCAGCTCGGAGAGGTTCTTGGAGCTATCCCACTCATCCATGGACCGAGTATTTGATGCCGATTGTGGGAAATCATGTGATTACAAAGTGGGGTCACCTTCCTACTTGGACAAATTGCTGTGGAGAGACAATAAGCCCCATCATTACTCAGAGCCCAAGCTGATTTTAGATTTATCCCACTGGAAAAGAGCAACCATAGCACCTGCAGCTGAGCTATCGCTGGAAGAAGAACCATCCAACCTCTTTCTGGAGATTGCTCAGTGGGTGAAGAGCACACAGGTGGGTCTCGAGTGTCCCAGTCCTCTTCCGGAGATTCAGGAACGGAGCCTGCCATCTTCTCCTCACCATCTCCGCAAAGAACCCACAGAGGTGAACAGTGAAACAGACCCTGAATTTGACTTGGATGTCTTCATCTCCAGGGCACTGAAACTTTGCACAAAACCAGAGGATCTTCCAGACAACAAGCTCAATGACATCAACGGGGCCTGCATATCTGAGCATCCCGGTGAGATTGTACAAACAGAGGTGTACCAGAAAGAGCGATGGTGAGGAACCCACACCTGGGAAACCCCGCTGTATCTCCCTGTTCCTCTCTGATGGTGTGGCCATTGCCGGGGGCTGAGTGGTTTCCATCTGTCATTGAGCATCTGTTTTTTTACACTATACCGAATGCCTTTTTCTGAAAGGCCAGCACAAACCACATGCCCCTTTTGATGCCTTAGAAATACCTTTAAGGGAATCAAGAGGTGTGAATGAAATACTGAGTTTCTTATACTGCCTTAACACTCTTGCCTTGCAACCTCTGGGACTTGTTTGAAACTTAAATGTACGAGGGAAAGGTGACAGTACATGATAAGTTTACAAACAGAAGTCAAAACAACTTCATTTCCTTTCTTTTTCTATAGCATCTTAAAATGATGAGGACAAAAATCAGCATTTTCATTATGGTCAGATCCCCTCCTGGTTTGACAGGTTCCCAAAACTTTGAGCTCCTCTGAGGCACCCGTGTGACTACAGGCGGTACAGAAAGAAGCGATGCCAGGCAGTGTCCATCAGCTGTCAATCGGCAGAGAATAGAACTAGAGGTAGAATTTGCCCATCAGACAGAAAATAACTCTTCAAGAATGTTAATGGGGAAGGAATTTAACATACAAAATATGGGCCACGGGATTTTATTTTATTTTTTCTGATGGGAAGACAAATTTTTTGCAAAGCACATTCTCCTTGCTTGGTTTCTCACACACAAATTCTCTCTTCCATTGCACGGGGTAGATCTGAGCTCTCAGAGTACGTAGGAGGCCACGTACGGTGCATTTCAGTGTAACAACCCGGTGCTGCGAGTCCTGCCTCGGGCAGCTGCCCAGCAGACCAGCAAATCCTGGTGGTCAGGGCTGGACAGGAGTCGAGAGCTAGAAACAGGGTGTCTCACGGAGCGATGCTGCCTGGCACCACCAGCTACACAGACTCAGCAAAGGCACCCACCTTTGCTAATAAAAAAAGGAATGAAAATACTACTATTTTCCCTTCTGACAAAGATGTGAAGAAAACAGTTCCTGTGGCATTAGATTTGTAACTGGCCACTTTGCTTCCAGCTTCTTTGGAGGACGCTGGTGTCAGCAGGCAACCGAGCATGCTTTGTAAATAGACACAAACACAACTCATCTACTGTAACTTCTGTTTTCATCCACACTTCTGAGCACCTTAATAATTAATCAGCTAACAACAGTTTGTATGTGGAGGAAATGTTCTATACTCATATTTAATCAAACTTGGCAGTTTTTTAAATGGAAAACCTGTAAATAGTGTCATAAAAGCCAATCTCTGCTTTCCTCGCCATCGTGTCACTGTGCTCTCCAGCACTACTTTCATTTGTAAAAGAGAAGCTACTGTACTTAGTAACTCCAAGGTCCATATTTAACTACTGTTCCTATATGAATTATTTCTACCCTTTTAACAAGCAATCTACTAAATGTTCTGAGATGTGAAGAAAACTCATGTTGAGACCCGGATGATAACTAACAGCAGCATTTGCTGTATTAACCCTGATTTCTGTTCTTGGTGGGATCAGGTACAGGTTTAGCTGTAGGAGAGCTTGTGCAAAGCCTTGACAAGCCCAAAAACTTGGTTCTTACTGTGAAGATCTCTCCTTAGGCTGATTGAAATGCCGTTACTCCAGCTGATTAGCAGCACAGGTGTGAAGGCTGCTGGCTGCATGGGTGGGATGGGGTGGAAGTCCTGGGGCAGGGGTGGAGAAGGCATCTGGAAGGCAAAGCCACTGGGCTCTGGTCGTTGCTTCGAGTATTTGTATGTCCCCCACAGCAGTTTAGAAAGGGGAAACAAGGGAGAAACAGAAGGTTGGTTTCCAGTGTGTTGCAGATTATTGATATACCTCAACTAAAGCTCAGCACTTTTACTCATGGTGGGAGAAACTCAGACGCTGAAGAAGTGGCCGCCCCTGCAGCGGAGCGGATCCGAATCCGGCCCCGTGAGCCCACAACTCACCGCCCGTGGTCCCGCTCAGCTTTGCCGTGCACCCGGCAGCAGCCGGCAAAGGCTGGGAACGGGATTGCCGGCGCTCAAGTGAGTGTGTGCCCAGAGAGGAGGAGGCAGCAGCCACAGTTGTGCCCCGTCGCTCCGTGGTGCCGCCGGGGAGGAGCAGATAACGCCCAGCCTCTGATGGGAGACGCACAAACTGCAGACGGAGGCATCAACTGAAAATTCGATGTTTGGGAGCTGGTGGAGTTTAAACCTGAAGGATAAGATCGGCAATGCGAGAGCTGACTTTTAAAACTCTTTTCTGATAGATTCAGCAACTATTTGCAACCATTGGGTTAAACACGGAGATGTGCTGACATGTGAAATGGGCAGCGATCAAACCACGCCAGCGTTTTCCCGAGCGGACATCAGTCGCCACGTCCTCTGAAACCAGAAGCCATTTTCTGTGGGCTGTTACATTCGGACGTCTTCTCCAAAGGTGTGCAGGACTATTTAGTATGGCCGTGAAAGTAACTGTTTTGCTTTTGAATATTGTCTTCTGAGGAGGAGTGGGAGCTTGGGGCCCCACAGTTAAAGTCTAATATTAACTTCAAAAGAAGCGAATGGAGCTCATTGCCGCTGCTCCGGATTTTCCATCTCGGTTCGTGAGCTGTTATATAATGCTGTTCCAAAACCTCGGTGTCACAGGCTGGGAGAGTGGGGGGAACGAGAGGGGTGGCTTTAATTTGTTACCTGAGTGTGCTCAGCTGATCACAAGCCAGATTTATTTCTCATCTACAACAATAAAGTTTAAGGCCTGAGCCTTCTTTGCTTGGTAACGTGTAATTATTTTGCTTATTATGAGACTTGAAGTGTTTATCCCAGTGCTCGCATCTAGGTTTTTTACGCAAATGATCACGAACACCTGAATTAGAGCTTGTATCGCATGAATATTTGCCTTCTGGGGTTATTTGGTGTTGGGTGGCTTTTCACCGAGCTTTGCTTTGGCTGGTGCAGCCCATCTGAGTGCTCAGGGTCACGGGGAGGGAATTTAGATCTCGTCACCGGCACAGTGACTTCTGCAAACTGCTTCATTATGCAGTTGCTTGAAGAATCATTTCAGTGCAAGGTTAACCATCAGGTATTTCAACGAATTTGTAGATGTTACTTATTTGCTGAAGAGAAAAAAAAAAAGGAGCGTTGCTATCGTTAATAGTAGAGATGGTGTGTTGGGCCACTGAGGCCACGCGGCACTGGGATGGGTGGACACCCTGGATGTAGAGATGTGCTGGTGTGGGTGTGCCGAGCAGAGGCAGGAGGGACGGAGGCTGCTCGTTGTGCCCTCCGAGGCTCGGGAGTGAGCGATGTGGTCCTGTTTGGTGACGTGGAGAGGCACCGCAATGACAACGCCGGGGACTTCACTGACAGAAGCAGAGGGACTGCAGATGTCTCCAAGCTGAGGAGGACCTCAGGTCTAGAGGCTGGCATTTAAGCCAGTGATCAGGTACATAAGTGCCCTTGCAAGTCCCAGCCGTTGTGGCCCGTCTTTTACATGGTTTTATCTGAAGAAGAACAGAAGGAGCAGCATCTCCCCGCCCCGAACCTGTGGGAACTGCTCGTGGTGGCCTCCATGCAAGGGTCTGTCCTCCCACTACAGCCAGGCACTGGCCACAGTTTGGGGCCTGGGAGTCCATCAGGGAGACGAGGCTGCAGCTGCCTGCTCAGCTGCTCTTAAAAACACCTTTAAATGTCAAAATGATCCTTCCGGCGGTTCAGTTGCTGGCCTGGTGATTCTTCTTCCCCAGTCACAAATACGTGACAATTTTTACTGGAGTTTATTTTTAATCGTGTTGGGATTCCGCAGGTGTTACAGCATCACAGAGCTGTCTTAACCAGATCTTCAGAGCTTTAGCATTAGAGTCATTAAAAAATCAACTTCAGCTTACTTTTAAATATGGTTTTAGGGACATCCTGGGAAGTCTTGCATTTTCCTATGCAAGTCACACCTGGATCCCAGAGTAAAACCACAGCACCGTGTCAATGAGTATTACAAGCAGAGCTACTGGAGACTGGACTGCTCATGATCATTTCTGTCCCTTTTAACCCAAGACAAACACGTATTTGAGCAATTTTATGCCACCATCTAACATTTTGGAGAGCTTGTGGTGAGAGCATTGTATAATGTGGCATTGCAGTTATTTCAGGTCTGAAATGTTCTTTTTTTTTCGATGGATTGTAAGAGGAGTTGAAGAGGACAAATAGACCATATGGTGCTTGCCCGTGAATAGTTGCCTTTGACATTTTCAAAGGCAGAGTTTGATTTTGAAGTAGTACAATACTCGGGTGAATGTAGTCCTTTCAAAGTGCAACGTCACTTTCCGAGACCATGCTCACCGCGGTATTTTGAACGGCCATCTGGCCTCTGTCGGAGCTGGTTTATAACAATCTCATTGCTAAATTCAAAGAGTAGGATTTTATTTGTCAAAAAAAAAAGAAGAATCTGTCTTAGAAAGACAATCTTTTCTCCCAGGATCTTATTCCGTCGGCTCTTGGGTTGGGGCAGAATAGGTTGCAACAAAAGGATCTCGAAAGGGTTGCTTTGATTAATGCTGCAGTGAAAATAAGCAGGTGTTTTAGGAAGTCTGTATAAAATTTTATTGAGCTTTGGAGAGAACATACCCAAGTACATCTTTGACAAGACAGACTATACCTAAAAATATCATTAATTCCTGTGATATGTCACTATTGCATGAAGTGTTTGTGTGTACACATAGACAGTATATTGTTTTAAGTTTAAGCAACACCTAATATTCCTCCCAGAAAATGGCAATAGATGTAGGTAAAGGTGCTTTAAGGTGTGATTTGAACTCTCTGCTTACCCTCTGTGCTTCAGTGTCCATGGGTGAGAACCACTTGGGGCACATCTGATGACCGCTTAGTGCTCGGGCACTAGCTCTGTCCTCAAGGTCATGGCGATTCCCACCTAGGTCATATTGGTGATGGTATAAATATCTGGGGCAAAATCTGGGGTAATCAAGTAAAACTTTGATAGCCCAGGCTTGTAGAATGGAGCA